CCTCATGCAGATTCAGGGTCCAAAAACACATTTGCTACTGAAATTCGGTGCCACCCCTCACGCAGATCCGCGGGGTCAGGGTCCAAAAACACAGGGGATTTGCCACATTTCTGAAATTCGGTGCCACCCCTCACGCAGATCCGCGGGGTCAGGGTCCAAAAACACAGGATTTGCCACATTTCTGAAATTCGGTGCCACCCCTCACGCAGATCCGCGGGGTCAGGGTCCAAAAACACAAGGGATTTGCCACATTTCTGAAATTCGGTGCCACCCCTCACGCAGATCCGCGGGGTCAGGGTCCAAAAACACAAGGATTTGCCACATTTCTGAAATTCGGTGCCACCCCTCACGCAGATCCGCGGGGTCAGGGTCCAAAAACACAGGGGATTTGCCACATTTCTGAAATTCGGTGCCACCCTTCACGCACATCCATCGCAAGGCGTGGTAACCCAAACTGCGAGAACTCCCTCGGCCCTTTAATCGCAAGGTGTGGTAACCAAGCCCGTAAACCATACACGTCTTACCAATCGCCAGGTGTGGTAACCCCTCTTGTGATCAGTTGGTTTTGCTGATTGCGAATCGGCTTCGCATGAAGTTTCGATACTGCTTCACGACAGCGCCAAGGCCTCATGACTTAGCTCTTCCATGGCCCATTCTCCGAGAGAGGGGGCCGGCGGCAGGGGGCGAAGCCCTTACGGATAAACATGCGGATGGCAGATGCAAGGATGGGAGGAGGGAGGGGGGAGGAGGAGGAGGAGGAGGAGGAGAAGGAGGAGGAGGAGGAGGATTAGGAGGAGGAGGAGGAGGAGGAGGAGGAGGAGGAGGAGGAGGAGGAGGAGGAGAGGAGGGACGGGACGCGGAGCGCTGTCTCTTCGAAACGAGGACCCAACACCAAAGGATAGTTGGGAATTGCGTCTGATGTCTGGGCTTCCTTGCCGAAAGCCAAGAGGGAAGATGGAGAGAAGGTGGGGAGGGGGAGCAGCAGGGACAAGGAGCACGGGAAGAGGAGGGGGGAAGGGGAAGGGGAGAAGGATCGCTGAGGAAGCAGCCAGGACTTCGCTACCAAGGGCTTGCCCTGGCAAGCCAACCCGATGAAAACCCTCACCAAGGCTGGGCAGCTCCGAGAGTCCCATGACCCCCCACGAAGGCAGTGCGCTAGACGTTGCCGCCGACGACGACGACGACGACGACGACGACGACGACGACGACAGTTCTGGAGCAGCAATCCGCTTGCTCCTCTGGTACCTCCTGCGGGTCCTGCTGGCGGGGAGGGGAAGTGGAGGAGACCTGGAGGGGCCAGGGCGTAGAGTGTTATCTCAACATGGCCTTGGGCCAGGGAAGCCTCCCAGCCATCCGCCGTTCCTTCGCCCCCGCGACTCCCCAAACCATCCCCAGGCAGCTGCTCTACGGGCCGCCTCTCCTCGCGAGCGCCAGAGGGAGGAGGGAGGGGATGAGGAGGAAGGGTAGTAGGAGGACAAGGGTGGAGGAGGCACTGAGGGGGCCAGGGCTACGGATGCCAGGCCCTTGGGCACCCAACATGATGCCTTCTGCCCCCGCGCACACAGTTGATACAAGGGTTGGCCCCGACCAACGACCCCCACGCCATGGGAGGGGGAGGAGGAGGATGGAAGAGAGGAATAGGAGGCAAGCTAGGCGCGCTCGCGCCATGTCTGACATCCGATCCGACCACGCCCACCTGTCCTTTCCCATCGTGCTGATGTATGCATCCGCCAGCGGGTATTCTAGCGGACCTGGACCACCCAAAAGAACACCATTGTGCTATGCCCAGTAGGGAAAGGGTAGCTGTGTACATTGGGGGGGAGGCGGAGAAGGAGGAGGAGGAGAAGGAGGAGGAGGCGGAGAAGGAAGAGCAGGAGGAGGAGGGGGGGAGGAGGAGGAGGAGGAGGAGGAGGAGAAGGAGGAGGAGGAGGAGGAGGAAGAGGAGGAGAAGGAAGAAGAGGAGGAGAAGGAGGAGGAGGAGGAGGAAGCGGCGGTTCAGCTGGAGGAGGAGGAGGAGGAAGGGGATGAGGAGGAGGAGGTGGAGGAAGGAGGACGAGGAAGAGCAGCAGCAGCAGGAGCGGGAACGGGAGGAACGAGAGGAGCAGGGGGGCCAAATAAAAAACAAAGGGGGGGAACGGAGCGGGGAGACAACGATGAGGAAGGATTCGGACCAAGAAATTTAGCCCGCGCTGTGGCGAGCGCGCAAATGGAGAAACCCACAAAAGATATGGAATGAAGCCTTGCCTCTCAACAAAACCAGTACACGGGGAATGGGGGGGGATCTGCTGGGCACGTAGCCAGGGAGATTGGGGAATCACGTTCATATTGACGAAGTGCAGACAGGACGAGACTGGGCGGAAGGAAGAGCGGCGGATGGGGCAAGCTAGGCTTGTGGATGCCACGACTATGGACACCCGAACAGTCCTATCATGTAAGTTACATGTGTTTAGAATATAGGAAAATGTTCTAAATCTGTTTTAGACATCTGGAAATGATTTGG